CATTCGTTCGTCATCCATCCGCTCCTCCTGCGCTCCCGTTCCTCGTTCAGCGCTTTATACGGTCCTCTATTCGTCTATGCATCTTTCCGGCCGTTCCTGGGATCGTCCGTTCATCCGTCCGTTCGTCCACACATTCAATCTTTGCGGTCCCGACGTTGGAGTTGTGGTGGTGATTTGGGTATCGGGTTTGGCTTGCAAGTGCACGAAATCGCGAAAACAAATTTGTTTCGGCAATTGTCGTTGTTGTTTTCCTATCGCGTCGCTACGTTTGCGTGCTCGTGCGTCCGTCCGTCCCTCGTGTCCAGATGGTCCGTCCGTCCGTCCGGCGCCCAGTCGTTCGTCCGCCCCGAACGAACGCGGGCGAGGTTCGCGTCAACCTAAGCCTCAGCCCTAAATCCGAAACCCTAAGCCTAAGCCCTGAGCCCTAAACCCTAAGCCCTAAGCCCTAAACCTTATGCCCTAAGCCCTAAACCCTAAACCCTAAGCCCTAAGCCCTAAATCCTAAACCCTAAGCCTAAGCACTAAATCCTAAACCCTAAGCCTAAGCCCTGAACCCCAAGCCCTAAACCCTAAGCCCTAAACCCTAAACCCTAAGCCCTAAGCCCTAAACCCTAAACCCTAAGCCCTAAGCCCTAAATCCTAAACCCTAAGCCTAAGCCCTAAATCCTAAACCCTAAGCCTAAGCCCTGAACCCTAAGCCCTAAACCCTAAACCCTAAAACCTAAACCCTAAGCCCGAAGCCCGAAACCCTAAACCCTAAGCCCTAAGCCCTAAATCCTAAACCCTAAGCCTAAGCCCTAAATCCTAAACCCTAAGCCTAATGCCCTGAACCCTAAGCCCTAAACCCTAAGCCCTAAGCCCTAAACCCTAAGCCCTAAGCCCGCCCGCCACCACGTCGAGCGGCAGCGAGACCATGGCAGGCTCTGCTAGGCTGCAGAGCCTGCAGGGCGCACCCCTGAGGGGTCGCCAAGCTAGAGTCGCCTAGCTAGTCACTGATATATATATATATATATATATATATATATATTATATAACCCTAAACCCTAGGATTTTGGCTTCGCGGGTCGGGGGTTGCATCCTTCACGACTTGAGGCGGCTTCCAAATGGACAAAGGGATGCCCCCCCCCAACCCTTCACGAGATGAGGCGGCCGCTAAATGGACAAGGGATGCCCCCCCCAACCCTTCACGAAATGAGGCGGCCGCCAAATGGACAAGGGATGCCCCCCCCAACCCTTCACGAGATAAGGCACCCGCCAAATGGACAAGGGATGCCCCCCCCCAACCCTTCACGACTTGAGGCGGCGTTTAAGTGGACAAGGGATCCACCCTTTTGAGCAAGTTCTCAACTTTGCTTGGACAAGGCTTCGAGGCCAAAGGTCGACAAATCCATGACAAGGCCCTTCGGCCCAGAACTTACCCCAACCCAAACCTCAAATTTTGTTTGGACAAACCCAAAGATCGGCAAACCAATGATGGGGCCCTTCGGCCCAGAACTTCCCAAAACGCAAGGCCCAAATTTTGCTCCTGCAACGTTTGGCTTTTGAATAGCCGGACGAGGATTGGGGGCCCCCCAACCCTTCACGATTTGGAGCGGGGAGGCCCCCAACACTTCACCAAAGATCTGCAAACAAATGACAGGCCCTTTCGGCCCAGAACTCCCCAACGCAAAACTTAAAGTTTGCTTTTAGTACAATGCTTGGCTTTGGCTTGGCCGGACAAGGGTGGGCCCCCCGAATCCTTCACGACTTGGAGCGGGGGCGGGCCCCCAATACTTCACCAAAGATCGGCAAATCAATGACAGGGCCCTTCGGCCCAGAACTCCCCCCAACGCACAACCTAAATTTTGCTCTTGGTACAATGTCGGGCTTTGGCTTGCCCGCGAATAATGAGGATGGCTTGGTTGGGCTGGCTTCGGTTTGGTTCGCAGTGAGTAGTGTTTGGGTGGTCTTGGGGTGGGCATGTCTGCATACTGCTGCGTTCAGCTGACCAATGCTACACCCTAAACCCTAAACCCTAAGCCCTAAGCCCTAAATCCTAAACCCTAAGCCTAAGCCCTAAATCCTAAACCCTAAGCCTAAGCCCTGAACATTAAGCCCTAAACCCTAAGCCCTAAGCCCTAAGCCCTAAACCCTAAACCCTAAGCCCTAAGCCCTAAATCCTAAACCCTTATAAGCCTAAGCCCTAAATCCTAAACCCTAAGCCTAAGCCCTAAATCCTAAACCCTAAGCCTAAGCCCTGAACCCTAAGCCCTAAACCCTAAGCCCTAAACCCTAAACCCTAAGCCCTAAGCCCTAAACCCTAAACCCTAAGCCTAAACCCTAAATCCTAAACTCTAAGCCTAAGCCCTAAATCCTAAACCCTAAGCCTAAGCCCTGAACCCTAAGCCCTAAACCCTAAGCCCTAAGCCCTAAACCCTAAGCCCTAAGCCCTAAACCCTAAACCCTAAGCCCTAAATCCTAAACCCTAAGCCTAAGCCCTAAATCCTAAACCCTAAGCCTAAGCCCTAAATCCTAAACCCTAAGCCTAAGCCCTGAACCCTAAGCCCTAAACCCTAAGCCCTAAGCCCTAAACCTTAAGCCCTAAGCCCTAAACCCTAAACCCTAAGCCCAAAGCCCTAAACCCTAAACCCTAAGCCTAAGCCCTAAATCCTAAACCCTAAGCCCTGAACCCTAAGCCCTAAACCCTAAGCCCTAATCGGAGTTCTCAGCCGTCCTTCGAAGACAGGGGTCCTTCGAAGGCCCAAGTTCCCCACGGAATGCGCTTAGAAGGTGGTTGTCTCACGGGATTAGGGTTTAGGAAGTTTAGGGTTTAGGGTGTAGGGTTTAGGATTTAGGGTTTAGGGTTTAGGATTTAGGGTTTAGGGATTACTTGGAGGGGCAGCGGACTTAGTAAGTAGGTTATAAGTAGGGTTATAACTGGGGTAACTCTATTTAGGGTACATAACTCTACTTATAACCTACTTACTAAGTCCACTGCCCTTCCAAGTAGGGTTTAGGATTTAGGGTGTAGGGTTTAGGGTCTATGCACAGAGAGTCTACCCATGCTACCAGCAAGAAATACCTACCTTTTTCAGCTGTATCGTAGGCACCCCCATGTATCGCTATGTCCCCAATCTCAGTGCCCATGGCGGCTTCGGGAGCTTAGGGTTTAAGGTAGGGTTGAGGGTTTAGGATTTTGGGGTTTCGGGTTTAGGGGTTTAGGTTTAGGTGTTTAGGGGTGGGTTTAAGGTTTTAAGGTTTAGGGGTCTATGGGGGGCGGGGGGTCTATGGGTTCGGCTTTTAAGGTGTCAAGCTCATAGGGTTCAGGACCTGTAAGCACAACTTTCAATTTGACAATAGCTATTGTCAGAGTGATTGCAGCAAATGAGAGCCGTCATAACAAGAAAAAACAACATAATCAATGCAACATTGCTACAGGTAGCTATCCAATCTAGTATCAACTTCAATAAAAGTCCCTCCTAGACCTAACCCCTAAATCCAAAACACTAGACCCTAGATCCTAAACCGTAACAGCCCCCCTCCCCCGCTCCCCTCCCCCGGCGGGCCAAATTTCGACACAGGTCGTTGGAGATCTTCTGGCCGTGGCCTGGTTGAAGGTGGGGCCATAGGGCTCAGGGTCTAGGGTTACAGGGTTCAGGCTGTAGGGTGTCGGGTTTAGGGTTTAGGGATGTTTAGGGTCTAGGGTTTATAGAGACTCATATTTTAAAGCCGTTTCACCTTACGATCATCAGTCAATTATACATGGATATCTGATACAGCTATCTTGAGCCCAAGGGCTGCGGTTTACAATTGTAGGTTTAAGGCAGAGGGTTTCCGGGGTGCACTTTCAAGAGATGCGAGCAAAAACACTGAAAACGTTAGGTTGGGCTTAGGAGTTTAGGGCGTGTTGGGTACAGGGTAGGGTTTGGCGTGAACAATACTGTAAAGTACAACTTTACTGTAAAAACACCCAAAAAGAATCCAAACCTACAACGCTTCAGGTGCTGTTTTTTGTGTGGGTTTCAAGTGGTTTCTAATGCGCTGAGGGTCCCAGGAAGGGCTCCATTAAGAGTTACTACGAGGGTTCTATAAGGCTTCTATAGGTTTTGGGGTCAAAGGGTCCATGCACTCATGTAGTACATGCTGGGGCTCTCAAATACCTATACAGGGACTATTATACTACGTATGGGTATATGGACCCTAGCCCCAAACCCTAAGCCCTTACAGCACATTGAAAGGAACACCTTAAACGTAAAGGGAACTCCTTAAAGGAACCCATGTGTGCGCAATGCTACAACACCATCTGTTGACGTTTCTGATACTTTCGGGACCTCTTCTGCCGGGTTGTTGCAGAAGCCCTAAGACTGTATGCAAGCATAAGGGCTCCTTTAAGGGTTCCTGTAAGGGTTCCTTCAAGGAGTTCCTTTATGAGTGCTTTAAGAGTCTAGGGTTTGGGGTTGAAGGTTCCGTGTACCCATATATGGAATAAGTAACTTTGCCTTAACGGGGTTCCTGTACAGGTACTATACAGCCATATGCTACGGTACATCGACCCGTCGAAAATCCTACGAAAAGGATTTTGGGTGTAGAACAAGGCTGGGATCTAGATCTAGGGTAAGTCTCCGATTGTGAGAAACCACCCGAGTCTGTATATTTCGGAATCCAAGGTGCGACGGAAACCCTAAACCCGAAACCTGCGACCCTTTTGTCCCGCTCTTGCCGAACTGCTCCAGGACAGAGCTACTACTCCGCCTTAGGCAGCAGATTTGCATGGCAGGTTGCGTCGAACTTCTCGGAGAGCGGTTACAGGGTTTAGGGTACGAAGTTCAAGACACCAACCATGCGTGCGAGTTTGCTCCGGCGCCTGACACCATCACCGTGTTTAGACGATCTTCTCTGTCTCCTTCATGTTATTCTCTTGCCGAAAAAGTTAAAGCAAAAATCAGATCCCTTCAACCTTCACATCGCCCCAACGGCTGCTTGAGCATAGAGCTGTGGATTTCGGCGCCAAACAGCCCAGCTTAGCGGGAAGAAACTGTGACATGTTGGTCGTCCCTCTCGTTGTCCAGCTTGTTGCTGAGATTGACCTCAGCAGCAAACCTGCGCCCTGAATCTCGCCGCAAGCATAACGTACCTTTCTGAAGGTTTCATAGACATCCCTTGAAAGGGGCCCCCACCTTGGTATAGAGACTGGAAGGATTATATTAGGGACCTTTTCTATTCCTATTGTACCACGATTACAGGGTGGGGGCCCCTTGGAAGACATCCCACATGATGCCCTAGTTGAGGAATCATACAGAGGGTGCAATGCAGGATGTCGCCTCCCCTTCCTCAAACCCTCCAAGCCCTGAATGTGAATCCTGAACCTCTGAACCCATGTCCTTAGAACCTCGCACCTTGAAGAATTCAAGGCTGCTATAGAACCCGCAGTCTAGAACCCCTACAGAAACCATATAGATCCTTGTGAGGGAACCCTGAGGAACTGTACTATATAGATACCGGACACCCCAAGCCAAGGGGCCACGTAAATCGCCTGTAGCAATGAGACGACTTCGTTTGGCAGCAGGTCCGGCCGCAGGTTCTCGGCCTCGGAGGGATTGTTTCAAATCTAACTGTATCAGCAACAATAATCGTTGTAAAATAAAACTGGATACCATGCTGTTTGCTATTATAACCGTCTATGTCTAGTTAGTACGAACAATGATGGTAACAATAATAACATTTGTAACTGTAGCAAAAGTAACAATAGTCCTTACTATTATACGTCACAATAATAAGACGAGTAACAATAATAAAAGGGTTTTGCACGTACTAAAAACAATAATGGTCATAGCAGTTATTGCTACTAGTATAATTATGTGTAAATATCTATACATACATATGCTTATATACATCTCCGTATATTTGCATTTGTCTGTATATCTACCTATATGAAGGTTAAGAGATACAGCTTGTTTTTGTATGTTAGAATGTGCTATCGTAATGGATGATAGATTACAATGACAGAAAACAGCATAATCAAATGTTGCACTCCATGGTGAATGACATCACAATACATTCTGCATTGCCTTGTACATTCTGCTGCATAGTGTTTGTTACAGTACAATACAAGGAACCATGTTATCTTACATTACGGTTTGATAAAACATTTCTTTCATGTAGGATATATTATATCATATTATATTATATGATAAGGTACTATAGTATAATACATTATACTGTGTTGCATGATTTAGTATATTACATTATGCGATGATTTATGACCTGGTATTGTATCATGCTGGCTCATATCGTCTCAAACCATTTCATATTCTCTTCTTTTGTACGATTATTTGTAGCTTGCGATTTAAAGCTATTTTGTTACATCATGACACAATTACCATATTATCATATCTCATATTGTAACAGGTCATGCTTATTTGTCATATTATGTTATAGTGTTTTATCCGATGTAAATTTGTATTATGTCATACGGATATTTCACATTAACTCAGAAATCTTCAGAAGGAATATAGGCACTTCTTCCGTCCCGTATAGTGCATACCCAGTGTATGCGCCACGGCCCCATCCAATTGAAGTTGATAAGAGCACAGGCATCCTCTTACTAAGGCCCAAAAACTGGATGCAAGAAAATATTGGGCTTATACTCTCTGGGCGCCCTACACCTTACATTTTTCACTTGCCCAAAACCCAAGGAACAAAAAGTTGAAACTTTCAGAATCGAAAAGTTGAGTTTACAGCCTATAAGATTTCGGTGCTTGAGCTGAGCACTATGCCCCAGGCCATAACCCTGAACCAAACCCCACACAATATAAGTACCATAACCCCAATTAGGGTCCCTTTTAGGGTACTTATAAGTCTACTTACTACCTACTTACTACGTTCCCTGACCCTCCAAGTAACCCTAAACCAAACCCCCAGAATCCCTGTATTAGAAACCTCATCCCTGCAACATGACATAAGAACAAACCCTAAACCCAAGTACCAGGGTTTAGGGTTTAGGGTTTTGGGCATAAATCCTCATCCCACATCACATATGCCCTACCCTAAATTAAACCCTGAACCCCAAACCCTGAACCTACATTGGCTCCGCACCCCCTGCAAGGCGCGAAATCCTAAGTCATGTCGGGCCAGGAAGCCCTAAACCCCAAACCCCTAAACCCCCAAACCCTAAACCCTTAAACCCCTAAACCAATAGACCCCCATGGGTCCCCAGCCGACCATCCGTCTTCCGCATAGTCGTAGTCGTCCGGATCTAGAACCTCACCTTCGTCTTAAGGGGAACTCCAGAAAGTTGGAATATGGTTTCAGGGTAGGATACCCCATAACTTACCATAGAGGGCTTAGGATAATCATATTCCAACTTTCTGGCTTTTACTTTACTCGCTGAGTTCCGGGTCGAGGGTTGCAGGGTTTAGGGTTGGGGCTCAGACCAAAATGTAAGGTACCCTAAGGGTCCAGGTATCTCCTAAGGAGGGTCCGGAATCTCCTAGGGAGAGCCCTTGGGTCTCTTTGGGGTCTCAGAATTCCTACATTTTGAGGTTCCCTAAAGTATTAGGACCCTGAAGCTGCCCCCACCCTGTAATAGTGACCATAAGGACTATATAGGATTATATTAGGGCCCCATTATATTCCTATTATACCACTATTACAGGGTGGGGGCAGCTCCTAAGGTGTATTCGGTCAGCTACTAAGGCTTCGCAAAGGGTTAGTTTGCGGGTTCTGTGCGATGTTAAATGGTTCCTTCAAAGATGGCTTGTTCGCATGTTCGATTATTGATAAAGGATGTCTGATTTCGGTCCGAGTGAGGAAAGAAGATGAGGAACAGGGGTTGGCTTGCGATTTAGAGTTTAGGGTTTTAGGTGGCTCGGTTGAGGTTTGGGCATGCTCGACAAAACCTGAAAACTGAAAACCCAACACCCTCAACCCTACACCCATCCTACTACATACCCTACGGCTCAAACATATGTAGGGTTTGTTTGACAGACTTTGTTTTTAGGCTCCTACTAGGTAATTAACAAATTAATTAAGGAACTTCTGAGAGACTGTAGGTAGCCATGTGCTTGGGCACAACTGCCTTCACCGTGAGTTCCCACAGTCTTAGGACTGTCTTGCTCCTCAACATACTTCGGGTGAATCTGCGCGGGCAGAGGAGTCAGCATGTAGGTGCCATTTAGCAACATAGCACTGTGCCCCAAACTCTACAGTAAAAGTGCCCCCAACAGCCCATGTGCGCATATAGACTTTGGCACTAAAATTCCTTGAGGGCACCTTTAAGGTCTAAGACTATATGGGCGCAAGGACCTTCAGGGTGCAGGGTGTGTATCCTCTTCCGATCCCTGGCAGTATTATATACCAGTATCTATATATACAGATGTAAACTGATATACATAATATATGTATATATACACACACACGTCATGTCTTTGTTTACTTATAGAGGTATATAGACGTGCTTTGATGTTCTGCACGCCGCTCTCAATACTAACGTGGTAAGCCTAATAAGCAATAGACCTTCGTCTACATCCTCAACCCCTTCTAGACTCTACATAACACCATATGGCACTTATGAAGCCCCCCTAACGCTGAGTGTCCAACTACTTAACAAGCAGTCACATACTATCCTGAAACCAAATACCCAAGTATGAAGTCCTTTGGACCCTTAGGGCCTTAGGGTAATGTAGACCCTTCTCCATAATCATGCTGTGGAGCTGGTAGTTCGCTGGCGTCGGATCGTGGCGATCAATTCACCGCCTGGGACAGAGTTACATGAGCTTCTGTTATACGCACGGTCTGCACAAGAATGTTTACGGCTTTGAAACACTAAGCCCTACAACCTAAAAACCTAAACCCCAAAGCCCTAAATCCTAAACGATAAACATCTCTAAACCGCGGGGTTGATAGCTTAAGCTTAAGGCTCAAAATGGCCCAAAAGCCTTTTTATAATATGGTCGTTAGGCCTAATTAAAGCCTTACAACATGAGTCTCGGGCTCTAGGCTTTGTCCAAAGCTTTAGGCTTGAGGATTTAGCCCCGATCTGTTTAGGGTTGAGGGTTTATGGCTTAGTGTTGGTGCTGGATGGGCACCGGGTGGGCATTGCACGATAACATGCAAGCTTGAAGTGCTGCTAGAAAGGCTGGTTGAAGGCTGGCTGAGTTTAGGATTCACAGCAGGAGCCGTAGACCCTGAACCCCAAAAAGCTTGACTGCTGCAGCTAACAAAATAAAATCTCTCGAAACCCCAGTCTCGCGGTTTGGGTCCCGATTTTGCACGGTCTGGCTTTACGTCATCCTGTGGCTATCCTCCTGAGTCTGCCTTTCAAGGGACCTAAAGACTATACTGAACTTGGAACCCTAGCAAGAATAATCATTTTAGCTGTTTCTTAGGGGTTATAATAACAAAAAATTAAAATCTATTTCTAAGTACCCCTAAGAAGACTCGAGCCGCCAACCCGAAGAGTCAGTTTCAGTGTAGACCCTGATTAATGATACTTGGAGGATCATGGGACTTATTAAGTAGATTATAATTGGGGTTATAAGTCCCCTAAGTGGGGTTATCCTAGTTATAACCTATTCATAACCTTACTTACTAAGTCCCACGAGCCTCTAAGTAGTCGGGATCCTAAAACTTAGGCCGACAAAGAATGGTGGTATATGGACCACAAAGCAATTGGAGCATAGTTCTAGGATCCTAGAATCTCACATACCATTTGGGCATCTGAACCTTTCTCTTCATACGCTATTCAGAAAATGCAGGGGATTAGAGGCCATACTACATGGACCCTACTTCTACAACCTTTGCAACACGCCCTTCTAGAACCCCCTAAACAATCACCCTAAACCCTACACCCTAAATCCTTTAAGGGAGCGGCCCCTCCGAAACACAAACTTGGACACCTGCTTCAGCCAAGCGACCAGGGGACTCCACCACTGCGCGCCACGCAGGACCCTCTCTTTGTAGGGTTTGCAGGGCTCAAGGGTGCAGGGTCTACAGGGCTTAGGATGATGAGGATCCAAATTTCCCGAAGTAGGCACTGTTTACCGGCCTTAGAAACCCAATTTAAACCCTAAACTCTAAGACGCCAAATAAACCCTAAATTCTAAGACCCCGAACTCTAAGACTCTTAACCCTAGCCTCGAAGACCCGAACCTAAACCCAAACCCTAAACCGTAAACCCCAACAAAGGCCCAAACCCTAAACCTCAAAGTACTGGAGACTTGCCAGTTGCAGATGTCAGCATAAGGCTACTATGCGGGTATGGTAAGTTCAGGGTCCAGGTATTTAGGGTCCAGGGCTTCAAGTTTAGGCGGCCTAGTCGGCCTATTCCCACAGTAGGATTGAAACACTAGAGTGGATCCACCCGAGAACGTCAAACCAAAACCCTAAGTTTTCTTAGGTAGATAGAGCTCAGTTTCCGGGTTAGCTGGGTGTGCGCCATATTGATCATGTGTGAATTCGTCACGTTCTTTTGGAACCGTAAGGAATACCATCACTACTTATTCAAGCCCGGTACATTAAGTTCCATTTTTCGGGGGTGAGGATGCTGTGTGCTCCAACCTTTCCGGCCTGCCCGGAGGCTCCATATCATATGCACTACCATTGTGGAACTAGGCCCCAAACAGACCATCCGCATTGTGGTTTTAGGGACCTACAGAACTCCATAGTGGTAGTATAGGTGGAGCCTCTGGTTCCGCAACACAAAACCGTAACTACCCGAAACCAGGGACATCCCCTGAATCCTGAGCCCCGAACCCAAAACTCAAAGTTTACGGCGCCCACTTCCAAACAGAACCCGTTACAGCACATGTATGTGTAAGTATACGCACACTGCAATGTGCCGTCCCTCAAAAAGCAGATACTCACGCTACATATTTGTGCATGGATGGATGGATGAATGGATGGGATTGATGGATGTTTGGATGGATGGATGGATGGCTGGGTGGGTGGGTGGATGGATGGACCGATGGATGGATGGAATTGAATATACGTATATACATTCATACATGTATGTGTACATACATATATGTGTGTATATATATATATATATGTATATGTATATCATTATATGTTCACTAATGTATACATACATGTATGTATATGGGGGTTGTGTTTTTTGCTTCAATTTCCATCTGCCGATCACAAGGCGGCCCTGGATTATCTTCTTCGGCCTCCACTTTTCTGGAAGTCGCTACGCGTCGACCATGGGAGTCCTCCGCTAAACCCTAAACCCTAAACCCTAAACCCCTAAACCCCTAAACCCTAAACCCTGAACCCTGAACCCTAAACCCCTAAACCCCTAAACCCCTAAACCCTAAACCCTAAACCCTGAACCCTAAACCCCTAAACCCTAAACCCTAAACCCCTAAACCCCTAAACCCTAAACCCTAAACCGTGGAGTCTTCAAAAGGAACCTTGAAGGCTTAGGGTCCAAAGGCCCCGACAATTCGGGTTCCATTTAAAGGGTTCTAGGGTTTAGGGTTTAGGGTTTAGGGTTCTATAAGGTTCCTTTAAAAGAGTTACTATAAGGGTTTTCCTTATATGGGCCTTAACAAAGGTACTCGGTTTTAGCACAGTGGTCATGTAGTTTAGGATTTTGGAGAGTATATGAATTGTAGGTACTTGGACCCTTGGGGTTAAGGCTTAGAAATGTTTAGGGTTTCGGGTTTCTTTAAGGGTTCCTTTGAAGGTTCCGTCAGATGGCTTCCTTTCAGGAATCTGCGAAGGAACACGTTCTTTGAGGGTTCCACTAAGAGATTTTCTATCGGTTCCTTTGGGTGTCCCTTTGAAGGATCTTTGAAGGGTCCCTTTATGGCTTCCTTCGAGGGATCGTTTAAGGGATCTTTTCAGAACTTAACTTTAAAGTAACCCTTAAGAGGGCGTGAGCCATCTTCAGGAAGCTGTTCTGATGAAGGCTTTTGTGAGGTGTTTCTGACGCTTGCCAAACTTTCTGCGTTATGACTGCATGCTAGAAGGGCTTGCATAGTGGGCCCGACGCCCGCAACACTAATCTCTTGACCTTCAACTGGCCTACTAGGCAAGTAATTGAGCTTTACTCCGGCTTCAGTACCGCTCAAGAAGAATCCAAGTACTGACACGGAAGTGTTAAGCCTTAAACCAGGTCCGTCACGATCATCTCATAGTGATAGTCGAGGACTTCCTCGCTCCGATGGTAATATCCAACGTCAATGAAGAATCTCGCATCGCTACCTGGGTTGTCTGATGCGGACAAGAAGTTCACCCTTTAGGTCACCTCACCTGTAAAGCAGGGCAAGGGATAAATTTTTAACAGTCAGAATAAGGGTGTTGGGGTATAATATACTATATACTTATGTCTACCAAGGAACCCCAAAAATAGTATTGGTAATTGCTTAGACTTCCATACTAAGTGATGAATAGCACCAACGTACTGGGCATGTTGATTTGTGCTGGAATTTCCCCCCCACCCCTCCCAACATAAGCTGATAGCTAAGGCACCTGTAGTTGACCCTGCTTGCTAAATCCTTGCAGTAAGCCCTCGTAGAAGCGTCAAAAAGACCTCATAATCATCATTACGGCCCCTACTAAACCCAAGAGTGACATAGGAATGAAAAACAGGTACCGTTTTCGCTTTAGAGGGACTTTAAGGGCACCTGAGCCCTAACAAACGGAATAAGGGCCGACTCTCTGTCCTAGCCTACATGAACTAGAACTAAGTGGCCTCAAGCCTCAGTTTGACCTTGCTGCCATTAAGTCTAGCGACATCTCACTTCATACAACTTGAAACATCACGATGGGTAGTAAGTTGTTTTTTAACTAGGGTTGTACAAATCTAGGATACGGTCTCTTGAGCTACTGGCAACCAGCTTCCGAAGTCGCAGGATCCTCCAAGCACCCCGAATCAGAAGCTCTTTGAAACCGTCTCACATAATACACCATAAGAGAACCCAGAGGCTGCACATAGATTACCCATATGGAGTTCAGCCCCAAAAGACCATCCCCATCAAAGTTTTGAGGACCTCATCTCATACTAGTTGGACTAGTAATACACACACAACTTCTTGGAAAGTGACTGTTTAGGGTATGGTATTGTATCGCGGCTCCTAACTAGGGTTTTAGTGGACTCCTAACAAACTAGAGGAAGCACACAGCAAATTCTAGGCCCCAAGCCCTGAATCCCAGCACCGGTCAGTGTATAGTATATACTCAATCCTTCAAGTACCAATAAAGTCTATACAGGAGGCTGCCCAGGGCCGATGAGTATCTATGGTATACTTGGGCCTCAGAGGAATTCTGTGTAGGTATCAGGGGTACATGGACCCTTACCCTAAACCCTAAAACGCATAGCGCACCCTTCTGCAACTTGGAGGATCATGTGACGTAGTAAGTAATCGGAGCTACAAGTATAAACTCCAAGTGTAGTAACTTAGTAGCCCCAGCTGCTAAGTCCCATGATCCTCCAAGAAGGACGAAACCCGCAACCCCCAAAATATCCCTTAAAGGAATCCCTGAAAAAGACTCCACTTACCGGAGCCCTTAAAGGCCTCCTATTACCCCGAAAATACCCCTCAAAGGAATCCCTGAAAAAGGATCCCTTACAAGAACCCTTAATTAAAGGCGTCCTATTTGGGAATTTCCGAAAATTAGGGGTACCTTATTTGGGGGTCCTTATAATAAGGATCCTACTATTTCGGGTTCTATAATAGGATCCCCTATTTTGGAAACTCCCGTTTCCGAGTGGCCTGAGCACATCCGCATTTCGACGTGGTCAGACCTGAGTCAGTCGATGGCCGAAAAATTACCCTGAGGGTCCTAATACTTTAGGGAACCTCAAGATGTAGGACTTCTGAGACCCCAAAGAGACCCAAGGGCTCTGTCTAGGAGATTCCGGACCCTCCTAAGGAGATACCTGGACCCTTAGGGTAAGGAACTGCCTGGAGCTTAGCCCCAAGGGTCCAAAGGACCCAATAGTTAGGCATTCGGCTTTAGGATAGTGGTTATTTAGGTTCAGATTTTGGAGAGTATATGATAATCAGGTGCTTGGACCCTGAGGGTAGGGCTTGGGTATACAGAGTAGAATGTGCAATTTAAGGCTTACCTGGACCCTACAAAACTTGCCGTTTTAGGGTTCCTCGCGATCTCTTACGCAGAAGCAAGATGCTCTAGCTGTATTACTGGTATGGGATTAGGTTCCCAAAAACCAAAATTGGGATGGTCGTTTGGGGCTTAATTCCATAATGGAAACCTGTATAGAGCCTCTGGGTAAGTTTGTAACATGTTGTAGGGTCTATAGGGTCAAGGACGGTCTCTGGGTCTGGAGCCTCACGCTCAAAAACAGCCGGAAATCCAAAAGCACACAAATTGAAGCGGTTTAGGGGTTTAGGGTTCACCTTAACCTACCAAAACCTACTTTGTTGTAGGGTCCCTATAATTTTCATATTAAGGTTTATCATAAGAACCTACAAAAAAGTAGGGTTTGGTAGGTTAAGGTAGGGGAGATCGACCCTAAAACAGTTATCCCTTGGCTCTTACAAAAACGAAAACGTTTTACACTCGACCAGGTAAGAGGCGCAAAGATGTAGGAATGGCGCCAGGCTTCCATAGCCATAGGTTGGCTGCTGAGTTTTAGGTCCTGGCTCGTCGTACTATGATTTAGCGATTACAAGTTCGCTTTAGCTTTAGGGTCCTAATGTTTACTTGGAGGATCATGGGACTTAGTAGTAAGTAAGGTTATAGGTACCCTAATTGAAGTTATAAGTATAGTTACCATATTTACAACCGTTACTAAGTCCCATGATCCTCCAAGTAGAGTTGTTTAGGTTTACAGTAGAAGCCCACAAGTTGGAAAACCGATAGCCTCAATCCTTAAGAGGAATGTATAAGAAATCCCAGCACTATTTGGCCTTAACCGGGCTTCCAACTTTATGGAACTTACTATGCATGTAATCCTTCAGGGACGATAACTATCTACTGCTTGGAGGTTCATGGGCAGTTATAAGTAGGGTTATAAGTCCCCTAATATGGTTTATAGCTATAGGCTATAGTTATCCCACTCATAACCCCACTACTGTATGTAGCTTTGAAAGCCCAATCTCTGTTTCAATCATCCCGACTTCCGAACCCCTGATCCCCTAAACTTCCATAATCCCTAAGGGTCCATGTACCCAAATCGAGGTTCCTTTAAGGGGTTCCTTTAAGGGATCCTGTAAGGGTTCATACAAGGGTTCCTATAGGGGTTTAGGGTTTAGGGTCTAAGGGTCCATGTACCCAAATAGTGTATACTTTGGGCCCAGTGTATCGATACCCGGAGTACTTATGGCCAATGTGTATACACTATATGAGTACATGGACCCTTAGGGAATGCCTAAGCCCTGACTTACGGAACCCCTAAACCCGACAAACGAAATTATGTCTAAACTCGAAGCACCAATTCTAAAGTTTCAGGGCTTCAGGGTTTACTTAGGGTTTAGGGCTTAAGGTTTATAGTGTCTGGGGTCAGGGTTCAGGGTTTATGGTTGAGGGTCAGGGTTCAGGGAACAGGGTCGAGGTTCTGTAGAGTCTAAGGCTCTAAGAGCTTTATGGAGAGTGCTGTGCTTCATGGCTTTCGTCTGGTTCGGGGTCCAGGGTGTCGGGTAGGCTGCAGGAGGAGTTTAGAGTCGCAAGATTGGGACTTAATTGGGGTTTAGGGCTGCCTGACATGATACGATGAGGGTCCATGCAAGAAGTCAACATGTACTCCTCCGGAAACTAGGTTCTAGATAAGCTACATAACGACTTTCCGAAATCTCTCCCAATGATCATGAAATAGATACGGTCTCTGAGCCTACATTACGACCTACGTTACTACGAGTCTAAACCTAAAACTAACTACTGGGCCATTTAAGCACTGGAACAGCCCACATTATATACCAAACCATCGGGCCCTCTGAACCATGGAAAGGATACTGTGTCTGTGAGAACTTGTGCCCTGTTAAGTGGCAACTTCTTCCCGAAGGGTCGACGTGCCGTTTAGGGTTTAGGGTACACTTTGCCCCGAAATACTTGTATAGGGAATGCATGGGCACATGGACTCGTGGGGTTAAACTTCATGTGACATACCATTTTGGGACATACAAATGACGGAAGTCTTACTAAGGAAGGAACCCGAAACCTGCTCCCTGGACCCTCATAAACCTACTTGTCGGGTATCATGGGGAACTAAAGGTTAACCGTTTTGGTTTTATAGGGATTATATAGGGGCTATACTACCCAAAAGAGGTTAAAGGTTACCTACTCTACCACTAGGTAACCCTATCCCTCCAAGGACGTCATAGTTAGGGCCCTAGACCCCTTAAGGACCCCATAATAAGGTCCCTGGAGGCATAGGGTAAAGGTTTGGGGGGTGTCCTGGTAGAGGAAATGCGTGTAGAAGCCAATCGCAGAGTCGACAACCCACCAGCGCCCGGTGTCAGTTTCGCTCTGATCTCGAACTTCCAGGCTGTACCTGGGCTTTTAAGTAACCAGGGTTTAGGGTATAAGGCTCCATGTGCCTTTATAGTAGATACTTAAGCCTTAAAGGGGTCCCTATATAGGTACTTTACCTCATAAATATATACCATATGGGTACCAAACCTGTATATCTTTTATTTCATAATGGTTCCCTTTGAGAAAGAAGCATTAAAGTATGGTACTCCAAAGCTCAGGTCCCTAGGAGCTCAGACACTGAAAACGTGGCTCCCAAAATGACACGGGCTCTGGGAAGGGGCGTATGACTTAGAAGCTGCCCCCACCCTGTAATAGTGACCATAAGGATTATATAGGATTATATTAGGGCCCTATCATATTCCAATTATACCACTATTACAGGGTGGGGGCAGCTTCTAACGTATGACCTTCAATATATTGGAGTTTCCGAAAATCAGGGGTACCTTATTTTTGGATCCTTATGATAAGGATCCTACTATTTAGGGCACTATATTAGGGTCCCCTATTTTCGGAAAATTCCATATAGATCTCACAGATCGGCAATTAACGGGGTACCTGGGGACTCCCTCAGTCCCTAGCAATGCCCAGTGAAATGGTCTGAATGTTCTGGAAGGCCACTCCCTAAACCCCTAGTCCCTAAACCCTAAACGCTAAAACCCTAAACCGTTTTGGAACACCACTACCAAGGGGTACTTGATAGAAGCTCCTGTAACGGATCTAGTCTTGGGATGCTCCCAGGCATCCACAGATCTTATGGATCCCTCAAATAAGGATAAGGAATATACCTCAGGTTATAGTACGTAGGTTAATTCCTAAATCCCGTAATTGAGGAATACGACTTAAGTTATAATAGGTTCTTGATCAAGGAGTATATTCTAAGTCATAGTACGAATAAGTTCCGAAAACCTTTAATCAGAACTTGAGTTATAGTAGGATCCCTTATATGATCTGGGGTATATTCCATAATCTCAGAGAAACTTCATTAGCCTCTGAAGCCCCTCTGTAGCAGCGCCCAGGTGCCACATTTCATCCATGGAGGACTTGACGTGCGCCATCGTGCCTAGCTTCCCGGGCAAAGACA